GCCTAGTGTATAGTAGGCGCTCAATATTTGTTGAAGGAATGACTGATGACCACAAGCTTTGGACCTTACCCTCCGGGCTCCAGAGCAGTTTCTCTGCAGCATCTTGAACGCTGGCAGTTGCTGTGGCTACCATCTGGCTGGTACCTGTTGAGCCTAACCCTGGGGAAGCCAGAAAGTAGAGAAGCAGGCTCTGCAGGGCTCTAAGCCAGGGGGTTAGCCACTTCCCACATCCCAGCTGTGGATGTCCAGGAGCATGGGCTGGGACCTCCACCGTGGAAGTTTGTGCTTGTAGAGAAAGTGTTTCCACAACACGCTTGCAAGTGAGCATGAGCTGTGGGTTTAAAGCCTGAGTTCTGCACTTGCATAGACCAGAGTTCTGTTCTTGTCTATATTGTCCCCTGCTTTCCTGGGCAGTTGATCTTACCTCTCTGAGCCCTAGTTTCCTCAGCTGCAAAATGCAATTGTTGCTGCTTCACTGGGTGGTTGCCAGGTTTAAATGAGGCCAAGTGTATAAAATGCTTGGCACAGTGCCTGAGGCTAAATAGCACTATTAATTAATAGCAATTTTTATACTTGCCAACTGTGGGCCCAGTTCCCATTCAGACTGTTTGCCCCCTCCTGTCAACATGGGCACCCCACTTCCTATCTGGGCTCAGCCTAAGACACTCCCTGTTGCCATGGCCAGTGGTGTGGGACCCCATCTACCTCTTCTGTCCTCCCCTACTTTATCTGGAGGTCTCACAGCTAGCTGGGTTTGGCCTCCTCTCCTGACTATTCCCTCTGGTGTGCATCTGGGAGCCCAGGGAAAGGGACTGAGCCAAAACAAAAGTTTTGCCCTTCCTGGCCATCTGGGGGCGCCAGCACGTGCTGTGTGATTCGGGCAGCAAGAGCCAGCCTTGCACAGCCAGACCCCAGAACCCAGGAGCTTGAGATCTGCCTGGATAGAAGAGATGCACAGAGAAGCAATAGAAGATCATGGTTAATAGCTCATGGTTAAAACCTTTGGGCAGCTTCCTCCCTCTGAGCCTGGTGTCTTATCTGTAAATGGGAATAATAATATCATCTCATACAGTCATTGGGAGAATTAAGTAAAATAATCAATGTAGAATACCTAGCATGTTTAGTTATTATCATTATTCATTTCACTGTGAAAATCTGACATAGCTCCAAACAGCTGGAAACAGCATTGCCTGGCCTCTTATTCATAAAGAGGCTCCTCTGTCTCACACTCAGCACCCCCTGCAATTGGGCATGTTTATTGATTATTAACTTTCATTGAGCTCTTAGGCTATATCAGGCTTTGTGCAGGGCCCTGGTGACTAGAGAAGAGAGAAGTGGTTGACATGGTCTCTGGCCTCAGGAGCTAACAGTCTAGTGATTGTAACCCCCACATCACAGAGTTAGTGACCCCCCAATAACAGAGACAAACTCCTGGGACCATGCAATGGAAATGTGGAAGTGGAGCTGCAGGTCTTTAAAAACATGTATCGTGTTGATATTTTAAAGATATTATATATGCACCCAGTGCATACTTCACAGGGTACAAAAGGGTATAGACTGAAAAGGAAGTCGCCCTCTCACCCTGCCCTCAACCCATAAATTCCTTTCCCTGGATCAAATACAGTTACCAGTTTCTTGTGTATCCTTCTGCATTTATGCTCTGCCTATGTATTCCTTTAAAACAGATACACATATAGTATATAGACATTATGCTATTATACACAGTTTCATCTCTTGCTTTTTCACATAATAAGTTTTGGCGATGTTTTTATATCAGTCCTTAAAGCATGTGTCGTCTCTTTCATGGCTATATAGCCGGATTTTTCAACCTGAACGCTAGACATTTTGGACTGGATAAGTCTATGGTGTGGGGCCATGCTGTGCACTGCTGGGTGGTTAGCAGCATTTCTAGCCTCCACCCACTAGATGGCAGTAGCACAAAGCACACAGTTGTGACCACCAAGAATGTCTCCAGACATTGCTAAATGTCCCCTCAGGGACAAAATCACCCCTGGTTGGAAGCACTGCTATGTAGTATTCTATCGTTTGGATGGCACCTTGATTTATTTAACCAGGTCTCTATTGAGTGACACTTAGGTTTCTAATTTTTGCTATGAGCAATGATGCTTCAGTGACGACCCACGTGCGTACATCACTTTGCACATGCGTGTATTTTAGAGGACTAACTTTCTAACTGTGGAACTGCACAGGTCCAAGGATTTGTGTATTTACAATTTTGCAGATGGGGCCAATTTGTTAGAGGAGGCACATTCTGTTAGGGAAAGTCCACCTGACTCTTCCTGGGTTGTGGGCCTCCTTGAGAATACCATGAAAGCTGTGCTCCTCTCTCTAGGAACAGACACCTCTCTGTTCATTTCCAGGCAATAGCACAGTATTCCAGGACTCAAGCAAGCCCAGTCATTTTAAGTCCCATGCAACAATGGAGGGATCCCAGTGCATAATCGTTACACCAGACTGAAGAGGTGGTTAGTGAGGGCTGGCTTGGAGCAAGATTTAGCAAAAGAGAAGTGGACCGAGGCAGGGGGGAAAGGGCAATTCAGGGAGGATAAAGCCATGAGAAATGGGAAACAACGTGGGGTTTAGCTGAATAGGTGAGGGTGATTCAAATCTCGAAGGAGCTGGGACACCACATGAGAACTGGAACTTCACCCTGAGGTTACTGCGGAGCCATGGAATATTTTGTTTTATTTTTCAAAACCAAGACCTAATTTACATACAGTAAAATTCACCATTTTTCAGTGTACACTTCTGCAAATCTTGACAAATGAAGACCTGTCGTGTAACTGCAGCCACTATCAAGGAATAGAACATTTCCATCACTCCCCAAATTTCTGTTCTGGCCCTTTGTAGCTATCTCCTGGCAACCACAGAGCTGCTCTGTGTCCCCAGAGTTTCGCCACAATGTTTCCATAATGTCATTTAAATGGAGCCATGCAGTATGTAGCCTTTTGAGCTTGGCTTCTTTCACTGGGCAGAATTCGAGGTCCATCCTTCGTGGCCGCAGGTACCGGCAGTTCATTTCCTTCCTATTGCTGGAAAAGAACTCCACTGTATGGATGTATACAGGTTGTTTATCCGTTCCCCCGTTGAGGGACATTCAGGTTGTTTACAATTAGGGCAATTACGGATAGCCATGCAGGGTTTCAGAGCCGGGGGGTCGGGGGGTTGACCTAGTTGGAACTAGCACACAATTCGGAGGGTGGCCAGGCAGGAAGGCTTTGGGCGAGTGATAGATGGCGCTGGGCACTCACCAACCCTCCCCTCCGCTCTCCCCGCAGGCTACGGCCACGCCGCGCCGGGCACGGACTCGGGCAAGGTCTTCTGCATGTTCTATGCGCTCCTGGGCATCCCTCTGACGCTGGTCACTTTCCAGAGCCTGGGAGAGCGGCTGAACGCGCTGGTGCGGCGCCTCCTGCTGGCGGTCAAGCGCTGCCTGGGCCTGCGGCGGCCGCGCGTGTCCACCGAGAACATGGTGGTGGCCGGGCTGCTGGTGTGCGCGGCCACTCTGGCCCTCGGGGCCGCCGCCTTCGCGCACTTCGAGGGCTGGACCTTCTTCCACGCCTACTACTACTGCTTTATCACCCTCACTACCATCGGCTTCGGCGACTTCGTGGCGCTGCAGAGCGACGAGGCGCTGCAGAGGAAGCCGCCCTACGTGGCCTTCAGCTTCCTCTACATCCTCCTGGGACTCACGGTCATCGGCGCCTTCCTCAACCTTGTGGTCCTGCGCTTCCTGGCGGCCAGCACCGGCGCGCCCGAGCGCTCTGCCCGCCGTGCCAGCCAGCTCCGCCCGGGGGCGCCCGAGAGCGGCCGCCGCGCCCCGTCCGGGGGCTCCACCTCCGTCTCCTTCCGCGTCCACCAGCTCGAGTCCTGGGCCCGAGACAATCTGGGCTTCTCGCCCCCCTCTAGCCCTGGGGCTGTGGGCTGCGGCAGGGCAGGCCGACCCCGAGCCCGGCGGAAGTCCATCTGACCCCGCCGGGGTCGCCCCTGGAAACGGAGGGTCTGCGGCCACCTCGTAGCGCACCCTCCGCGGAGCTTGGAGAGGGGTGAACGGCCGTGACCTCAAGCGGCCTTCTACCACGGGTAGTTTCCCCTTCCCTGGCGCGGCTAGCTCCTCCCTCCTTTCCAAAAATATACTAAAGCTGCATCATAAGCACAAGCACGACCCTCAAGTCACACTGTAGGCTGTAGGTGCGAATCCCTTCGTGGTCCAAACTCTGAGCACAGTGGGGTCACATCAGCCCCCCAGCAGAGGCTCTCCCCAGGCCCATGTGGCCAGCTGGCCTTCCAGAGCGGAAACAGGAGGCTACTTTTCTGTTGTGTGAAGAGGCCGGTTTTCCACGTGGTAGTGGACATGTACAACTTTCAATACTGGAATTCTACCAGTGCGGCAGCTGCTCACACTGTGAGGAGCACGGTGTCAGACAGTCTGAAGAGGAGCATCCACCATCCAGTGTGGACCAGTGGGCAAATCTATGCACTCCTTAAATGACCATTCTCTTGCCCAGCGTGTAGAGTGGAATTGGCTCACGCCTGAATGAAGCACATCCTCCCCTGCCCCCCCCCAATCTGATGCTGTTTGTCCTTGGCCAACCCCACTTCAGGATGAGGGGGCCTTGGCTGACACCCACGTCCTTGGGGCCACCTGGGTGCAGTCAGGTGCTGCAAGATGAGCCCTCTTCTGGGAGCTGTGAGATCCGAGTTCTGCCAATCACCAGCCGATCACCATCACCTTGGGGAACCCCACCATCCCTTACCTGGGCCTGTTTGCACATCTATAAAATGATTGGGTTCACCCAGGATCCTTTCCCCTCCTCTGCATCTTTGGAAAGTTTCCTGGAATGAGCCCAACCCTAAAAGGGGAGCATTAACAAAGCTCATAGCAGAGGCCATGCTGGCATCCCCTCGCACTCAGTTTCTTAAAACTGCCCTTCACTTCCCAGATAGAACTGTTTCAACACAAAGCATAGAACGCCAGATTAGAAAAGCCAAAAACTTTTAATTTTCAACATGAGCTACATGGTCATGAATACAATGCAACGTGACCCACTCCAACCCAGGGCTCTCAGAAACCCTCCCTCCCCATAGGCCCAAAAGGCTCCTGCTCCTGGATAGGGAAGAGGGAAAGGTGATGGGTGGAGAGAAGACCCCAGTCTGAAGACCTAGGGTCCTGCCTTCCTGGCAGCCCGTCAGGAGGCAGGCGCAGAGTGGAAGGGCTCCAGGTATGCTGCCCTGGGTTCGTGTCTTCACTTTGCCCTCACTGAAGCTGTGAGTAAAATGGGCAGTCAGCCCCCGTCACAGGGCTTGTCAGATGAGCTCACCAACCACTGTGAGGTGCTGCTACACAGACAAGGGCCCAGGGGAGTCATTACAGGGGAACAGAGGGGCACAGCGCTGCTGCTCAATAAATAAACGCAGGTGGCCATGCCTGACGCAACAGCTGTGCTCCAAAGGAGTGGGCTCAAAGCTGTTCCCGAACGCTGAAGTCGCCCAGGAGCTCCGGGTTTAAGGAACCGGATGGTGAATCAGCATGTAAAGTACACAACCACCTTCTAAACTATCTGCTTCACCTGCTTGGGTAGAGCAAAGAGCTCTGAACTGTTGGGAGAACTGAGTTCTAGTCCAGGCTCAGCCACTAACTCACAGGGGGACCTTAGCAGGTGCCTTCCCCCTGCCCCAGAGCTGCAGCTTCCTCCTCATTAAAGTGGGGCCAATTAATACAGGCCCCCACCTACAGCCCAGAGGCTCTTGGGAGGGTACACTCCAGGCAAAAGCACTTTAGCACTTTGAAATCAAAAAGTTGTGGAAAAGCACTACAGGAAGATCAGCTATTATTACATCTGAAGGTTCAGTGAGGCTTTCCTTAAGATGAGGTGTACCGCCTCCTGCTCCCTCCGATACAGCCACAGGCAGGAACCAGGGCTCCTTACCTCTCTCGAGTTGGTCCTGGAGGGGTCCTGGCCCCACCCAGACATCGAGGCCTAGGCCAAATCCTGGGCACCCTCCATCAGTTGGGCCAGAGCCCCTGGAGAGCTAAATCTTTATGGCAACCCTCTCCCCAAACCCAGGCCCAAAAAAGTTAGTGGCACACGGAGATGGAACCACATGGGGCTGGGTGACCCAAGGCTTACAGGCCACAAATACTGATGGTGGACATGCCCTGGAGCAGTGGTTCCTGTCCCGTGGAGGGAACCCCAGTGGGGCCCCATTCTGTCCCCATGGCTCACTTGCAGAATCAGTCATTTCCTGATTCTGAGTGTCAGTTTCCTTACCTCTCGGATGCACTACAATTTGTCCTGCCCATCTTTTCAAGGATACTGGGAGGCTCCATGGAGAGAAGGGAGGAGGAAGTGAGAGTAATGGCAGCACCCCTCATTCTGCCACACTCCAGCTCAGCCTCGGGTGGGAGGAGGCCCAGGCTGGGGGTGCCACTGAACTCACTGGTGACTCAGAGGCAGCTCTTCCCATGCTAGGCCTCGGTCTCCTCATCTGTACAATGGACTTCACTAGTGGGCCCAAAGGCTCTTTCCCTATGGTATGAAAAGCGGGTTCTGGAGAAGGAAAGTGAAGATGACTCCCACCCATGGTACCTCTGCATGTGACCTCTGGCCCAGAGATTGAAAAAAGAATAATTCGCTAGAGATCCCAGCCTGACCCAAGTCCCCCCAACTCCACCTCTCTTCTCCTCTCCAAATAGTGGAGTTTAATAAGCCCAGCAGTGTGGACAGGCTGGGTTTGGAGGGAATCGCCAACGCTAATAATGAGAAGGCACCCCCTCCTCAAACCCCCATCCCTTAGTGAGGACAGATGTGGTTCCTGCACCTAAGGTCAGAGCCCCTCGGAAGGGCGGCCACGTGCTCAAAACGATGATACAAAGAAACAGGGCTCCAGCCCCACGCCAGCCCACCCCTCCAGGAGGTGAGCTGAGATTTCACAGAACAGACAAGAAAGTCACTGAGGGGCGGCCCTCGGTGGCCACCCCCGGGTGTTATTGCTTTGGAGCGCTCTCTCTCGTCATAAAGGCTGTGCAGACACCAGAGGGCAGACTCCCTCTGGTTGGGACAGCCAGGCTCAGTCCAGTCTTTGAACAGCTACCCCTGAACAACCAGAGCAGTGATGGCTGGAGAGAGAAGGCGCTCTCCTGGCTCAAAATATCCCCAATGGTGAGTAATAAATGAACAGCAAAGAAATCACACTGGTTAAAAAAAAAACAAATGGGAGGGTAATGACTTTGCGCCTTAAAGGCGAGGCCATCGAGCCCCACTGCCTGTGGCTCAGCTTTGTGGACCCACCCACCACAACCCCAGGAGGCCCTGAAGACTCCCGGGCCAAAGGGGTATCTCCATCTCCCCTGCCCATTGCAGTATAAGTGGCTCCATGGAGGCAATATAACTCCTCCAGAACTTGAAAGGATACCCAGGGCTTAAGCAGGGTGAGAGGAGGGGAGGAGTTTTGGAGCTGGAATCGCCTGGTCACTAGCCTAGAGTGGGATGGGACAAGGTGGGCCTGAGCGGAGCCGGGCATCTGCAGTGGAAAATGACCTCCTCTGATGGAGCCCAGGCCGCTTCCACCAGGCCCACAATCCTCAGGAGTGCTTCCTAAGTAAAATCAGTACCAAGGATAATAAATCAGAATGTCTGAGTATAAGGGGCAGCTCCAGCTACAACCCACTGGAGGTGGGGGAAGAGGGGGGAGGAGGAGGGGCTGGCCTCCCATGAACCGGGCTCTGGACCCAGGCCCAGACCAGTGAAGAGACAGTCATCTCCTGGTAAATACTGCGTCTCCTCTCCGCCCCCATCCCGGGACTCTATAAGGACAGGGGGAGAGCTAAGAGGAGGCCCCAGGGTTTGGAAAGCTAACTCTACCCAGCTAACCTGGACTACGCCCTACACAGCAGGGACTGGGTACTGAGGGGTGGTGGGCTGCTGGGTGCCTCCCAGGGGAGGTGGCAGCAATGTGCTTCTGTAAAGAGGGGCCAGCCTGCATCCTCCCCAGCATGCAAAAGGGCTTCCGTAGGCCCCACGGAGGGCCAGGCAGGCAGCTACCCAGGCTTGCTTGGGAAGGAATCCCCCAGCCTTACACTCATACCTCCTCACTCTCTTTCTGTCCTTAAGCCAAGGTAGTTGAGGCCAGGGCAGTGGGCTCTGCCCTCAGTACAGGATGTTTAAAAAGACTAAAATAGGGGAGCACTATTGCCTCCCCAATACCCCTAGCCTGGAGGCAGAGGAGTAGACAAGATGGACTTTGACCTCATCCAACCAGGAGGGATTCTCTTATTTGGGAAACCCTTGCCTTGGCATCACCAGTCCCAATCCCAGCTGTCCTCAGATTCCCTCTCCAATCCAGCATCCCCCAAATTTGGAGATGGTGAGCTCTCTGGTCTTGGGGACCTTGAAAATCAGGGTCCAGAAGCTCTTCCACCAAAACACAGATGACAGAGTTCTTTCCAGTCCACCAACAGTTTCCAAACCAGCTTGTTGCACCCCCATGGAGCAAGGCGCCCTAGGGGTCTGTGCCAGGCCCCATGCGCCTCTTTGTTTCCTTTGTTCCCTGCTGGACCCCAATTCCTAGAGCCACCAGAAGAGAGGCAGGCAGGAGGGGACGGACAGATGGACTCAGACAGGCTGCGGCAAAGCTCCTTCCACGGGCAGGCAGAGGGAGGCTGAGCTCCTCTTCAGTGGGAGGCTCTGGGCCCCCGGAGCTGGCTCCGGATCCTTGCAAAGCTGCCCCATAGGCTCTGGGGCAGGAGTAGCTGCCTGAACCCAGCGCCGCAGGAAAGACACTTGCTGGTAGTTGGCACCATGGAGATGGCCGCTGGGTTCTGGGCTTGGCTCCAGGCAGCGAGCTCCCGAGGAGGCCGAAAGGGGGAACAGTCGGACAGTGTCTGGGCAGGAGGATGGTCAGCTCTGCCACCTCAGTCTTTCCTTTCTCCAGATTGCAGCCACTTCCACCGGTAAAGGTGGGGCCAAGTCAAAAGTGCAGCCAATCCCACTGGGAGAGGGAGGGTCTTGGGCAGGGATAGGAGGCAAAGGGGGTGAGGAGGGGCCCTGGGGGACAGGTCTCCCCATTCTGCTTCCCCACTGTCAGGGAGAACCCCGTCCTCCTCTGTTCAATGTGCCCCTGGGCCTGGGGTCCCAGGTCGGGGCTGGGCGGTCTCCAGGCCATCTTGGGGAACCCCTCCCCTTCCCCAGCACTAAGATCGCTCCCCACAGGGCCCCACGGTGCTCTCGAGAGACAACTGGGATGGCTGCCGGAGCAGGGGGCCTGTGGCTGGGTCCACCATGGAGGAGGTGGGGAAGAGCTTGTACCAGCCCACGGCCAGGGTGGTCAAGTCCAGCTCCTCCAGCAGCACGCGGGCCACGCCCATGAACTGCTTCCGCTCCATCCGCCCGTAGTTCCCCCATACAATCACCTGCAGGGCAAGAGACACAGTGGTTCAGATCCTGCCAATGCCACTCACAGGCCCAGAACCAGACCCTGGGGTCACCCCCACATCCAGCTTATCTCTGAGTCTACCACCTTAAACTGCTCACGTCTGAAGGTACTTCCCTGGCTCCGGGCTGCCATCACCTTCCCGCCTTCAGTCTTGCCCTCTCCATTCCATCCTCCATGTGTTGCATGAACCCAAGCCTTATGGGTGACCCTACGCTGTGAGTCTCCTGCCTGTTTCCCATCCTGGGGCCTCTGCTTCCAGATCCTCAGAAACCCCCAACATGAAACAAAGTTTTAGAAAGAGGTTGGTACGTGCTAAACTTCTTGCCTTTTCCCAACAGACTCTTTTTTGGAATGCTTTCCCCTTTCTTGGTCAACACCCTCTCCTGCAGCAGCCGGCTGGGTGGTCTCTGTGGCTACAGGACCCTCGTTTGCTCTTCTGTACTTCAGGTTCTTACTTTGTCCCCCCATGAAGGTGGGCTGGCTCAGTCATTCAGCAGAGCCTGTTGGCTTAACACACAGCCACTAGGGTCAGACACATGGAAGTTCAAATCCCAGTCCTGGCTGGGTGGTTCTGGGCAAATCATTTACCCTCAAGGAGCCTCAGAGTAAGTGGCATTATCCACCCTCAGCTTATCTCAAGCAAAGACCAAAGATGACAATGGTGTGAGGCTCACTGTGCATTGTAATATGCTCTCCACGCACATACATTAAGGAGAAAGCGACATGAGCCAGCACAGTCTTGTTTACGGTGCATCAGGAACGGTTCTAAAACTAAAAAAGCCTTAGGTTCAATCTTCCCAGCAGCCCTATGGAAATGGTCTGACTTCACAGCTGTTGAAACTAAGGCTCAGAGAGGTTGATCATCTGCCCGAGGTTATTCAACTAAGACATCTTCAATTCTTTGGCAGCTAGTCAGAAGCCCGCTTCTGGTGCATGGATGGATTCGTTTTTGCTGGTGTTATGAGCTGTTCCCCCCAAATTATGTTGAAGTCCTAACTCCCAGGCTGTGACTGTCATGGAGACAGGGCCTTTAGAGGTGATTAAATTAAAAGGAGGCTATTCGTGTGGACCCTAATCCAATATGACTAGTGTTGTTTTAAGAGATTAGGACAGACAGACACCAGGAAGGCACGAGTGCAGAAAACAGGCCACGTGAAGACACAGCAAGAAGGTGGCCACCTGGCCCCCCAGGAGAGGTGCCTCAAAAGAAACCAACCTTACAGCACCAGGTCTTGGACTTTCAGCCACCAAAACAGTAAAAAATAAATGCTGTTTAAGCCCTGCAGTCTGTGGTACTTGGTTCTGGCAGCCCGAGCAAACGAATACAGCTGGCATTCCAGATCTCACTCACGGTGCTGGTCCTGCTCTGACAATGGTCAGAAAGCTCAGTTTCACGGACCCCAGCTCAGATTTCCATTTCCCCACCCCTTCCGCATCCCAGACAAGGACATACACCGGGATTTCTCCAAACATGCTCAGGCCAGAATGAGTAAACTTCATCCAGTGGACCAGATGGGGCCCCAGACACTCTCCTGGTTGTTTTAAATTGTATTTGAATGCCTCTAGCCTAGATGGGTTTTCCAAAACTCTTGACAGGGACATTTTTATTATCACCCTAGGCACACATCGGATTCACAACATTGTAAGCAAGCACCTCACCAATAAGACTTACCTTACTAAGAAGAGAGAAACATTTTCTTTCCTATTTCATTCCATTAAAAAAAAAAAACTAAAGTAAACAAAACTTGTTGAGAACTGCTAAACTGATTAAATGACTCACCAATGGGCCTTAACCAGTAGGTTGAAAAATTGCCCTAGACACTTGGCAAAAGTCCCACTGTCTTGGCAACTTGTTAACACCTTGGTCCTGCCCTCATTTGCTTTGCCTGCCCTGATTAGGAGCAAGAAATTGAGGTACAAGCCGGAGGTGCCCAAGTGGCAGCTCTGAGAGCAGGTGTATAATTCCTGCAGGCATCCAGCCTGGGCCCTGCCTACACCCACGGTGGGCAGCATCTCTAACTCCAGGTTTGAGTCACCCTAAGAATCCTCCTAATGGTCAGAAGCCAAACACCTCGTGCTTCCTAACAGCTTCTCAGTCTATTATCAGTGTACTCCAGGCCCAGCCGCTGGCCTCAGAGGTTGTTAATAGTAATGACGATGATGATGATGCCAGCAGCCATTCGTAGAGCACTTATTAGAGGCCAAACTTGCAAATAATTTTCTTACACCAAGCACACATTTCGCTATCCCGTTAATGTTATCAGTAGATACCATTAGTATCCCCGTCTTACAGATGAAGAAGCGAAGGCTCAGAAGGGAACTCATTCAAAGTCGCACAGCAAGTTGTGGAGCTCAGATCAGCCACAGTGCTCTACTTCCTCTGGGTGAGGCCCCCCCAGAGACGTCCCCAACCCCCAGGTGAGCTTCCCCCCACTCTGGCACTGCACACACCCACCCAGTGCCCCTCACCTGCAGGACTTTGCCCTGGGGACTCTCAGGAAACAGCAGCACCTGGTTATATAGTGGGTCCAACGACTTGCGAGCAATTTTGGTCTTCTTCTTGGCAATGCAAACGCCATTCTCCAGCAGGTAGGCCTTGATGTAGGCCGCTGGGGACAGGGGCCAGCAAGTGAGTTCTAATCTTGTCCTCAAATGGTAGGCAAAGGGCACAGCAGAGGGAGGCTTCCCACCCACTGCAGGGATTGGCAGGCCCCCATGGGGTCTAGGAGGAGACAACAGGGCCAAGTGGGGTGGTGGGTGTGGGTGGTGGGGTACAGCCAGGGTTGGATGGGCCTACTCTAGCCCCTGAGTGGTCCTCTCTGTCTCTCCCTTTCCTTTGCTCACTCTATACTCACCTGTTTCCTCTCTCAAGCTCCTTCCCTGTCTAATGTATTCATCACTGACCCATTTATTCAACAAATGTTTGCTGAGCACCCACTGTGTGCCAAGCACCCTACCAGGCAGGGGGCTATAACCATAAACAAGAAAGATGGACCCCGTCCTCCAGGAGTGCTATCCAGTGGGGGACGCCTTAAGGTCAGTCAACAGTCTCAACTGGGTCCCCAGAGCAAAACCTAAACCACCAAGTCCACTCAAGGTGGGACACAGGGATCCCCTACAGTTGGGCCCAATTTTCTCTCTTCTAGATCCAGGTACCCTTCAGGACCCCTCCCTGACCTCCATCCCGACAGCCCCACACCTGGCAGTGTCTTGGAGCCTGGCTTGGCCGTCAGTCCCCGAGCCTGGATGATGTCCACTTCGAGTTGACCATTCCGCTCCTGCAAGCCAATCTCCACATCCCCTGCAGGAGGCGCCGCACAATGAGAATGGGAAGTGGCTTAGAAGCTCCGCCAAGGACTTGGCTCCTCTCTCTGCCTAAGGATGACATCCCCTTCCGCTGCTCCCAGCCCAAAGGAGACCAAAACCAACTCCAGGCTAAGTGCCAGGCTCTGCTGAGGGGGTAGGTGTGGATTGGGCTCTGGGCTGGGCACTCAGCAGATATGGCCAAGGTGAGGGGAAGGCTGGAGAGACACGGGGCTTCTGCTGGGAACCCCCCACTTAGCACAGATCTTGGGACACTCACCCATCGGTGTGGTGGCCAGGGTCTGGCGGCCTACAAATTGCGCTGGCCCCATGCTGCCCAGGAAGTCACTGAATTGTGCATCCGATGCCAGGCAAACTCCTCCATAGTTAAGGCTATAAGAAGACAAGATGAGACAAAAGCATTCCCAGGGGCTGACTGAGGACTCTGATGTCTCAGGTGGTCAGCTCTAGAACATCCCTCATTCCACGCTGATTCTGCCCACATCTACCCATCACCCAGCCTTAGGCAGACCTGTGTCCCATTTCTCTTTCCTTCTTTCTATCTTCATGGCCTGAAAATCTCAGCTCTGACTCCACAATTCTAGGGTTTAGCTTTTGTGTCCTGTACCATCCCCCTATCTCTCTGCACTGAGCGTTAGGTTCCACCTCCATGAAATGGGTATGACACCTGTCTCTTGGGATGGTTTTAAGAATTATGGGAAATGATGCTTATCGGTGTCTGGCTCTTGTGATTCAGTGCCACAGTGCTCAAAGTGTGGTCCAGAGACACAGCGGCATTGCCCAGGAGCTAATTAGAAAGAGAATTGTGCCCCAGTCCACCTCCAGCTGCTGAATCAGAGTCTGCCTTTTAACATGAGCCCCAGGAGACTCATTGGTACCCAAGAATTTGAGATGCGCAGGACCCACAGCTCAGCCTTGGAGGCCTACATTTGTTGCTACTGCAGAGCTGCCCCATATCCACTTCCCCTTCCTTTGGGAACAAGATCTCACATCTCCTTTGAGGAGCCCCCTCTCCAAGGTACTGATTCCTGGGGAAAGGGGCAGACCTGACTCCAGCGTTTAGGTGGGAGCTCAGCTCAGCCCATCAAGGTATTCCTTCCCTGGGCCGGTGACTGGCTCAGATGTGGGCATGTGGCCCAGTTCGGCCCACAAGAATCTGACCAGGAAGCTTTGTTTAAGCTGAGGGGAAGAAACAGCCCTCTGTTCACACCAAACCTGGACCTGAGACTGAAGGCTAGAGCCCCTGGCAGCTATCTTGCTACCCTGCCGTGTCCATGAAGGAAGTCACCACACAGGTGGCACTGAGAGTTCCTGGATCTAACTCTTCCTGAAGCAAGATACTTCATCTTATTTTGGTTATGTAAGTCAGCAACAACAATTATTATTACAAATTACTATTATTTTGATTAAGCCAATTTCAGTTAGCTTTTCTCTCTCATCTCTGAAATAGGAATAGTAATATTCCCTAAGTCTATTGTGGTTAAAATGAGTACCATGGCCAATGTATACTATTATCTTCAGAAGCAAAAGCACATGCAACCCATGTTCTTATCTGATCCTCACTATAACCACAAGAGGTTGGGTTTTTTTACCTTTACCACCATTATTCAGATGAGGAAGCCCAGGTTCAGCCTGGCCTAAAGCCACTGAGCTCATGGCAGTTAGTACTTAATACCATAGTTTCAATGCCAATCCCAGGTGACTTCCCACCTGGGAGGGTTCTAAGAATAACATCTAACTTTCAACAGGCAGCTACTGTGTGCCAGGTTTCACAGCAGCAGCTGAGAGGGTATTTGAGAAGGGAAAGGAACCTGCCTTGGGCAGGGAGGGCAATGCCCACCCTCAGAGCAACCCCTGCCTCAAAGCTCCCTTGGGAAACCTGAGATCTCAGCTTGGAAGAGGAGGAGAAGGTCCCAAGTGAGAAACCTTCCAGCCTGCACAGGTGCTTCCCTATGCATCCAATCTACTCTGCTACCCAACCTTTTCCCAAGATCTTCAGTGAGAACAATTCAATAAAGGTTCCCTTTCTCCCTCCAGCTCTTCTCAATCTAGACATGCTCCCAGGCACTTGCACTGTATGTTTCTGGCATTATACCTAATTGTTAATTCATCAAATCTCACAGCTGGCAAAGGATTCACCCACTTGCTCAACAAAGAGTTACAGGAGGATGTTCTCTAATCCGGCACCCCTTTCACAAACTGGAAGACTGAGGCCCAGAGTGAGAAAGACATCTGCCTTCCTGATGATGGTCCATATGATGGCTGCTGTCCCGGCCTACTCCCAATTCAAGTTTCTCTATAGTATCTTGTACCTTTATGTATACAATTCCAAGCAAGTTGCAGGAAAAGAGAAGAGAAGAGCATGCACACAAAGAACTCAGCATTTTGCTGGATAAATGTGTTGCCCCTAAATAAACAACTTAAGAAAACAATTTAACGAGACACAACTAGTGACCTACCCATCCACCCTGGGTGGGGTACCTCAGTATCAAGGGCCTACTATGTATCAGCACCCTTCCAGGCTCTAGGGCTACAGCAGTGAACCACACAAAGTCCTCTCCACATGGACCATATATTCTGGTGTGACTCTTGCAGGGGCTCTATCAAAGCAGGCCTGATTTTATTCAGTTATCATGCATGGACTCCAAAGTTCAGCAAGGGAAAGCTACATGCCCAGGGTCACACAGTGAGGGGGTGGGAGAGGGAGGATTTGAACCTAGCTCTGCTTGTGGAAGACACCTTTTAGCTGTCTGCTTTGGCACATAATAACCTCCCCTTGCCCAAGACTGGCCCAATGCATGAAGTGGGCTCCTGGGAGCTGGGTGTGTGTGTGAGCGTGTGCATGGTAAATGCTGTGTTCGTCATTTCTTTCTGGTACACAGCTCAATCCATTTCCAAGCCTTGTAACTAAGTGTGGCCTGTGAGCTGAAGTGATGTGGGCCACTTCCTGGCCTATCCTATAAAAGCCTCCACATGCCATCTGCTTGGCATGGGTCTCTGCCTGGTCTCAGCCTATGGATAGTAATGCTATCAACAAGAAATGCTCGGGGGCACTCACCTGGGCCCCAGTGAGCTTCCCACAGACATCTCCATTTTCCAAACCAATGTTAGGACTACACTGACCCATGTAGTTCTCTTGATCCCTTTCAGCAACAACGTTGGGAAGCTTTGAGAAAATGATTTATTATTTACAAGACCTGGAAATTACACAACAGACCAGGGGCCACACAGCAAGATCAGGGGAAGAGAGAGTGCACACATGGGCTGGGGAATGTTATTATTGGGGTCAAAGGTGGGAGTGTAGGGTTTCAAGACCTCAGCTCAAAAGTTCAGTTATCAAATCAACTGGGATCTTTAAAACAAAGGGCCACAAAGGGCCTCCCGGCAGAGAGAGAGCTGGCTCTTTATCTGGTCCCAAGATTGGCAATATGTTTATTCAACATAGGTCTTTGAAGTGGATACCTCTTTGAAATGAATGCCTTGACAATCAAAGCTTAAGTCAGGTACTTGCTATACAAAAAGAAAAACATTGCAACTGTCAGGCCTTACACTACACTGTCTCACACCCATTAAAATGGCTACTACTGAAAACAAAACAAAATAAAGAAAACAAAATAACAAGTGTTGGCAGAGATATGGAGAAATTGGAATCCTTGTGTACTGTGGGTGGGAATGTAAAATGGCACAGCCACTATATAAAACAGTACAGCAATTCCTCAAAAAATTAAAATTAGATTACCATATGATGCAGCTATTCCACTTCTGGGTATATGCCAAAAAAAAAAAATTGAAAGCAGGGTTTCTGAGAGATATTTGTACACCCATGTTTATGTTCATAGAGGCATTATTTGCAATTAGCTAAAAGGTGGACACAATCCAAGTGTCTGTCAATGAATGAATGGATAAGCAAGGTGTGGTATATTATTCAGCCTTAACAAGGAAAGAAATTCTGACACATGTTTACAACATGGATGAATCTTGAAGTTATTATGCTAACTGAAATAAGCCAGTCACAAAAAGATAAATGCTATATGATTCCACTTATGTGAGGTAACCAGAGGAGTTAAATTCACAGAGACAGAAGTAGAACGGTGGTTGCCAGAGGCTGGGAAGTGGGGAGGATAGGGTTAATAGTTTAATGGGTGCAGTTTCACTTTAAAAAGATGCAAAGAGCTCTGGAGATGGATGGTAGTGATGGTAGCAAACAAGGTGAATGAACTTAATGCCACTGACCATACACTTAAAAATGGTCACAATGGTGGGACTCTCTTGTCCCCTCCTGGCATGAGCCAGGAGCTCTGTCCTTTCACTTTATCTCTAAATAAAAGCCTGTACCTTGCTCTCCTGAAAAAAAAAAGGTCACAGTGGTAAGTTTGCTATTATGTGTTATTTTGCCACAATTAAAAACAACAAACAGTTTTCTCTCTTCCCCATCAGAGTCACCAGCAGAGGCCCTAAGGATGGTGAAGCCACAAGAGAAAAGGAGCCCAATGACCAGAAAGTCCTGTTCTAAAGTGTATCAGTAAGAAATAAACATTTTTATTAAGTCATTGGTGAAAGAGGCTGGTTACAGCCACCGGCTTTCCTTACACAAACACAGTGACTCTGTCCCCTGAACGGGCTGATGGACCCAGGGGTAGACACCTGACCCAGGCTCAGTCACACAAAGACTCCATCTGGCAAATAAAAAAGAGAATCCCAGAGACTAAAAGTCATGCGAACCGAGCCAAGAGAACAGCCTGCTCTCAAAAGAGCCCAGAACTGCTAGCGACCCAGCTCCGGCCACCCGGCTCTTCTCTCAGCCACGTGAGCACACCCAAGGTCGTACCGGTGCATCCTGTTTTTACTTGTTATCGGCAGAGTTGGTCGATGGCTGGAGGATAACTTGACATTTTAGCCTGAGTGCTTTTCATTGTTATGATTTCCTACTACCCTTCCCCAACTTCCGCTACCCTTTCCCCAATCGGGCAGTAACCTCAGAGGAGGGATGACCCAGGAGGATGCAGAGAACAAGACAGTCAGACTTGGGGTTTCTCAGTTTCAAATCTAAGAAGAAACAGACTTAGAAGGGTAAGTGCAAAACCAAGCTGCCCAGCCCCCAAATGAACAAACAAATGCCCTCCCACTTCCTACCAGGAGAGCAGAGGAAGTCGGGTGGACAGGGAAGCCGCTGAGATGTCAGAGCATCCTCTGGGAGCTCTGGGTCCCTGGGCGAGGCTGGGCTGGCGGTGCTGATGCTGACAGATGCCAGGAAACCCCAGAGAGGCTTGGGGAATCTGAGAGCAGAGGGGACTTGTGCCCTCCTATGGGTGGAGTAGAGAAAAAGGCACAATGCTTTGCAGAATGGCAGCCTGGCATCTTGTCAGGTCAAC